AGAGAGAAGAGTTCGGTTTTCGAAGATCTACGGGCGAACTACACGATAAGAGATTTTAAGAATCTAGGATGAAGCTCTCGATGTCCTCTTTGTCCGTTCAGATTTGGCCCTTCGCTCGACGATCCGGTCAATTTTTTCCCTTTCTCTTTCTTCCTCTCCTTTTTTTCTTTTTCTACTGTTTGTTCGACGTGATAGCCCACCGACGAATCAAGTTCTATCCTACCTACGTGAACTCCGAAATGACGCCGTTATCATTAAGAACGGTCTTATCGGTCGTAGGGAGTGACCATTATCTCTGAGCTGTTTCTGCCGCTCGTCCAACGAAGACGTTCTCTTTTCGAGATATAACCTCGTTGGTCGAATCTGGAAAGTCTCGGTGGTTTCGCGGGTAAAGATCCACAAATGTTCTTTGATATCACAACATTACGTGATATCGAATGAAACGTAATTGTAGCTAGAGGTCACCAGAAAATCAAATTGTGTTTCTCCTGAAGAGAGCAATAAGAATTTCAAGCGCGATTTCCTTTCAAGCTATATCAGCTTTTTACTGTTGCTATCAGAGATCCATATGAATGATAACATGGATTGGCATAAAATTTGATGTCTTTATAGGTAACGCGTGTGTATTTAAAGCATTAGTAATAAATAATATATTGATAATTATACTTTTGTTAACGACATCTCTTTGATGAAAAATCTAATGAGTATATTATAAATCCCTTTATTTAATCTTTGATACGCATGATTCTAATAAATTATATGTCGATATTATCATTGAGAACTGTAAAAGTTTGAAAACTGATATCTCTAATACGCGTTTGAAATATTAGACTTCAATATTCAAAATAATTACATTTTAATATTTGTCAAAATATTTGATAAGCGACAAAAATATTTTACGTTTATCGCGTGTGTGTATTGCAGCGAAAATCTTACTGAAATCTTATAAATCTAATGCAAAAGGTTTATAAATTTATTTAAAAAAAAAAACAATGTCGAGACGGTCTTTCTTTCATCGTTCGTTTTCATCGAGCCAGCAGCCTATCGATCTGCGGAATTTTTTTATTGTCATTACTTTCGCAGCGATCCCTTCGTCAGCTAAGAGAAGATAAACATCGTAAAAAAATTCGCACTTATCCCCGAGTGTTTGCTTAGGTCTCGCGAGAGAAATATCATCTCATTATGTTGTCCGAAGAAATTGGTGACATAACTTCGGGATTCTCTATACTCGTTTATCAATATTGAAAGCGGCACATCACACAACTCTCACAGTGTTGAATAATTAAATTATATATAAAAAAACAAGATGTTCAAATGAGAGGTTTAAACGAAGTATTTAAACAGAATGAGATAATGAAGCGATAAAGTAATCTTGTATCTTGTATGTAGTAGTATTTGAGACAGCCGTATAAGATGAGCGAACAGGTTCTTAAATCACATAACTTCTCTAGCGAAATTTCACAACACGATGAAGAAAGCAGCCAAGGGTCTATGAATCCAAAGACGTATGGTTTCTGGGCTTATCGTGAAAAACGTAATTCCTCAATTCGGATGCTTACAGCGTAATCCGGCGGAAAACATTAGCGCGGCTATTGTGTTTGACTGCGGACAGACTTCTAAATTATTATAGAGTTCGGATATATTGCTAAGTTATAGTAATTTTGGATTTAACGCGAGCCAACGGCTAAAGGACGTGCTCGTCTCCGCGAAATCTTAAAGCCGGTTGGTTAGTTTTGCGTTTACTGGAAAGCTGCCGGCAATTTTATTTTTTCCCGGCAATTCTCTCTTTCGCGCACTTTACTTTTAAGCGGTAGCGAGAGAAACCGGTGTACTATTATATAGCGCGACGAAACAAAGGAAATCACAAATATCTTCTGTGAAATCCCTCTTTCCCCATCTACCTTCCCGGAATAATCTAGAAATGGTAAAAGGTCAACTCCCGCTTTCCCGAACGCGAGTCGTACGTAGCATCATAAATGTATTCACTTTCTATTTTGTGATGAAATACAACACGCTGCATATAATCAATATTAATGTAATGTATATTACAATGTGTGGGTGTACGTATAAGAAAGACGAATTGAACAAAAGACGAGACTTGTCATCAGCTTTATGATTAAAAACATTTTTAATTTTTAACTTTTTTCACGCGAATTATTCAGAAATAGAATTTTACACACTTTTGTTTCTTAGCCAAATGCTTAGAATGTATTCATTATTATAGTAATGTATAATAATTTATTATTATAGTTATTGAATATTAATCTACGTCTGAAATTGAATAAATTATAATTAGATAGTTTTCACGTTTTATAATCACAACATATTTTCACGTTTGTTCTCGATAGTCGCAATTCAATATTTACTCTGCTTTTATTTTAACGCTTGACGGAGATTTTATGTATTTTTCCTCTCATATTCTCTTTTCCTCATTTTATCTTTTCTTTTTCTATTTTCCGGATTGTTTTGTTAACACACATGTAACAAATATATTCCTGCAATATTTTATTGATTTAAGCACTAGACATGTAGTTTCTGGTTGAGTTTTTGTAAAATTAATCGAAATCCGCGCAGCTTTAAACGCATTAATATTGTTCAATTTGCAATGATGATTAATGTTGTTTTTCTCGAAAATTTTCTCACGGATTAAGTTGACAGGATAGATCAGTCTATATAGAACTCTATGCTTCGGAGGTCAGGATTAGTAAAGTTCAGTTGATGCCAGAGCAAGCCCCGGGGAAGGAGAAACGATCCCTAAGCGAGTGATAAAATTCCTTTCCAAGTTATATTAACGCCGTTAGTCGTACCCACGGTGCCCCTGGACGAACTTTAATCGTGAATAATGAAGGAGCCCAGCGGCGATTATTTTTCTCGCAGAAGGGACTGGCGGCATTAGACGCAGCCCTCGAACTTCAGCGCGGGACCATTTTTTTGCACTTCCCGAAGAATCTTTGTCAGACGGGAAAATAGATTTGACTTCTTGCCCGTTGTTTGATTCTGGACACACTTATCGTAAATTATGATATTTAAAAATGACCGAGAGAAAAAGAGAGCCTTACACATCTCCCGTTTAAATTTTAAAACTGGCTCTAAAAGTTTCGGTTCACTTATTATTAATACAAATGGTCAATTTCCTAAATCCATTTAGTTTTACGCATTCTTAAATTGCTTAATAAGCTTAACATGAAACGCATACTGCTTTATTTTTAAAGTTCTTAAAAAAAATGCTCTATTCTTAAAGTTCAGTCCTTAAAAAAATAATTATTATATTATAATTTAATTATCTGCTACATAAAAGAGATCGTTTATTGAGACGTGTGTGGTTGTCATGACATTAAAAACAGATTTCTCAACCGTATTACGCCGTTATCAGCGCTGGCGTGTAACAAAAGTTCTTAAAGTAGCTTTATAGAAGGCGAATAGCTTCATTTGTAATAGCGTCAGACAAAACCGTCGCTTGTGATGGTAACCGTTAGGGCGAATAATAAATTGGCAGACAATGCCCGAAGGAAGATACCCGAAGAAGTGCACAAAGAATGCTTGCGTCAGCTATCATCTGTATAACTTGCAGACGGAAAGAAAAATAATATGGCTGTGTTCGACATCAATATAATTTACTTTTGCAGAACATCGTACCATTTCCAATAATTAGTACCATTGTCGATTATTGTGAAAACTTACTAAAAGATCGCGACGATATGGTAGTGTCGAATGGAAACAATAATAACAAGAGAACAATAAGAAATTTAGGATCTTGAATAAGTATTGCTAAGGTTGCATACATATAACAGGTATTAGAAAATTAAAATGACTCTATGATTATTGATTTATTAAAAATAATGAAAGAATAAGAAAGTAAAAAATAATATGCGAAATAATTAGACGCATTAAATATTTTCTATATTTGCATTTTTTACCGATTGTTTTTTATTCGTATTAAGTATATACTTTTCTTTTTTATTATTACGTTCTTTCTTTTGTTATTACAATGTAAAAACTTTTAATTTTATGAAAATAAATGGAAATAATAGCGTCGAGGCGAAAACAATGTTAATTGATTCCTACACGGAATTCAATAATCGAATCCTTGCAGAACCGGACAGACTATTGTTTTACGCGTTGCTAATATGTATTTAAAACTTAAATACTTAATATGTATCAAAATCGAAATTTAACGCAGCTATTATTCGTCGATTATTTGCTGCGCGAAGTGCGTTCAAAGAGAAGTTGACAGGACGAAGGACCCGAAGGAGACTTAGCCAGAATGGGGTGCTATAATCTCATTTGTGGGGTATAGTTGGTGCATAATTCCTTGCAGTGAGGAGCATAACTTTGTACTCTCTCCAAGGAACTGTACCAAACTAGCACAGCCTACGGGAGAATACCAACTTTGCAAACTCGTGAGTAGTTGCGTTGACGGCGATGTACTCTCCCATACGGGATGCTTGATTCCTACAGATAATTTCTACAACATCTACGGACTTGTCGCCTTTATGAGCAAATCAAACACGTTATAAGAGTGTTCCGTGTTTTGATTTTATATTATATAATTTAACTCGCGCGCGCACACCTGCGACTAGAATATTTTCTCAATACATTTATTTATTCATATTGTAGTAATTCAATTTATCAGTTTTAATTATATCTGGGTAAAACCACAGCATCGAGATTTTAATATTTCAATAATTGACACATAAATTGATAGATTATATTATTCTAGTAAAATACTTTTTTGCACATGATTCTTTGCAAAATTTTAACGCAAATTATTCTATGTAAAAGTATAAATGACCAATCATTATTGAATATTAAAATGTGAGATATATATGTGTATATATAACTTTATATATATTGTTTAAGTAATCTTATTTTCCTCTTTTATGGCCATTAAATGTAAGCCACAGTAGCGCCTATTGCCACCACTTTAACGTGACTGGCTCGGCGGGATACTTAAGACATTGCAGACCTCTAACAAACCCTCTTGTCTTCTTTTTCTCTAGACATGCTACGAGATGGAGAGGTACCTGAAGGACGAGCCGAAGCTGCAATCGTATAAAAAACTCCCCACGGAACTGGACACGGCGCCCTGGAACCTCTTCAGGGCGCCATCGATTTCGTGGACGACGTCCACCGGAACAAACGCACAATTCGACCCCCCAATCAAAATGGAGGTGAGTAATCAAATAATTTTTGTAGATTATTCTTAACCTCGTTACTATCAAATCGTTTCAAATCACATCTTTCTATATTTAAGCTTTGATATTTTGTATATAAATAATTTTTTATTGTCGTTTTATTATATATATAAATTATTATTATTATATATATATCTGATAAATTACTGGTAATTTTACTAGTCTCCCAGAACAATAAATTTCCATCAATCTTGCGAGCATTTTAGAAAATTATTCCAGTTTCTTTTTTTCAATCAGGTGACGACGTCAGACGAGAGGGATCCCCTCTGTTTGGACGACATCAAATTCAGTCCCGGCGATCATAATGACAATGGCCGTGATAGGGATCTTCTCGACCGTCACCTCGATTCCTTGTCGATGTCTTCGGCAAGTTCGGCGTGTTCAGCGCTGTCTTGGGACAGCTCACCCTCCCTTTCCTGCACGGCGCTCATTCTCAAGAAAGAGCCCAGCGAAGACCTCGAGGAGGATGAAGAACACGAAGTACGTTGTAAATTTTTAATAATTGTTCAATTAACAATGTTTTATTTTGAATATATAGTAAAATTCATTCGTTAAAAATTGATACCCGATCAAAAAAGAAAATTATTAATCACATCATGATTAATTACTAATTTTTCTATTGCAAATTAATTAGTTGTCTATTGCAAAGTAGAAATATTATTTTTGTTTTATAATTTTTCATATATAGCAATGTAATAGAATACTCGACAAATCTTGATAAAATTTTGAATCTATAAAAATTATTATTAACACTCCTATATTATATTTATATGTATATATATTTTTTCTTGTATAGAAATATTAATTAGAATCAAATTAATTTTCTTAATTTTTTGCATGGGAAATGTTAATTCCAAATATATAGAATCTAATCGCGCACTCTTATATGCAATTTATGATTCAATGCAATTTGAAATGCTGTACTAATGTAATGAGGCCGGATATAACGAGTTCGCAAGGTCGCGCCAACTCTCGATTCTCGACGATTTATTTACTTGCCGTCAAAGTTTAATACGACTTTTAGCGACGATTCACGGAGTGTGTATCGATTCCGTTATCATAATCTCGTTGCATAATGCACGCGATATTTTACTGCTGCAGGAGATCGAGGAGGAGGAAGATAGCGGATGCGAAAGCGAAGGTCAGATCCTGACGCCGCCGTCGAGTCCTGGGTCGGGTCAAGGTCATTCCAACTCCAGTCACTCGTCGAGTGGGAGTTCGATGCCCGACGTGCACAACCTCAACCTTCATGGCACGGGTGGCAGGAGCGCTATCGTCAGGGTTACTGCCGGCAACGCGCAAGGTGTCGCAAGGTAGGTGTTATATATATTTCTTGAATCATATTTATGCCATGTTACGTGATCGACGAAAGAAGTATTCGGCTCGGTCGCTTTTCGCTTTGGCGTTTTTTCGTTACTGCTATTTTTGTCGAATAAAAATGTAATCTACTCTTGAATTGTGAAAGAAGCAACACGGTTAACGTGCAACTTGTCTATTATATATATATCTGATAAATTACTGGTAATTTTACTAGTCTCCCAGAACAATAAATTTCCATCAATCTTGCGAGCATTTTAGAAAATTATTCCAGTTTCTTTTTTTCAATCAGGTGACGACGTCAGACGAGAGGGATCCCCTCTGTTTGGACGACATCAAATTCAGTCCCGGCGATCATAATGACAATGGCCGTGATAGGGATCTTCTCGACCGTCACCTCGATTCCTTGTCGATGTCTTCGGCAAGTTCGGCGTGTTCAGCGCTGTCTTGGGACAGCTCACCCTCCCTTTCCTGCACGGCGCTCATTCTCAAGAAAGAGCCCAGCGAAGACCTCGAGGAGGATGAAGAACACGAAGTACGTTGTAAATTTTTAATAATTGTTCAATTAACAATGTTTTATTTTGAATATATAGTAAAATTCATTCGTTAAAAATTGATACCCGATCAAAAAAGAAAATTATTAATCACATCATGATTAATTACTAATTTTTCTATTGCAAATTAATTAGTTGTCTATTGCCTTGTCTTCTTTTTCTCTAGACATGCTACGAGATGGAGAGGTACCTGAAGGACGAGCCGAAGCTGCAATCGTATAAAAAACTCCCCACGGAACTGGACACGGCGCCCTGGAACCTCTTCAGGGCGCCATCGATTTCGTGGACGACGTCCACCGGAACAAACGCACAATTCGACCCCCCAATCAAAATGGAGGTGAGTAATCAAATAATTTTTGTAGATTATTCTTAACCTCGTTACTATCAAATCGTTTCAAATCACATCTTTCTATATTTAAGCTTTGATATTTTGTATATAAATAATTTTTTATTGTCGTTTTATTATATATATAAATTATTATTATTATATATATATCTGATAAATTACTGGTAATTTTACTAGTCTCCCAGAACAATAAATTTCCATCAATCTTGCGAGCATTTTAGAAAATTATTCCAGTTTCTTTTTTTCAATCAGGTGACGACGTCAGACGAGAGGGATCCCCTCTGTTTGGACGACATCAAATTCAGTCCCGGCGATCATAATGACAATGGCCGTGATAGGGATCTTCTCGACCGTCACCTCGATTCCTTGTCGATGTCTTCGGCAAGTTCGGCGTGTTCAGCGCTGTCTTGGGACAGCTCACCCTCCCTTTCCTGCACGGCGCTCATTCTCAAGAAAGAGCCCAGCGAAGACCTCGAGGAGGATGAAGAACACGAAGTACGTTGTAAATTTTTAATAATTGTTCAATTAACAATGTTTTATTTTGAATATATAGTAAAATTCATTCGTTAAAAATTGATACCCGATCAAAAAAGAAAATTATTAATCACATCATGATTAATTACTAATTTTTCTATTGCAAATTAATTAGTTGTCTATTGCAAAGTAGAAATATTATTTTTGTTTTATAATTTTTCATATATAGCAATGTAATAGAATACTCGACAAATCTTGATAAAATTTTGAATCTATAAAAATTATTATTAACACTCCTATATTATATTTATATGTATATATATTTTTTCTTGTATAGAAATATTAATTAGAATCAAATTAATTTTCTTAATTTTTTGCATGGGAAATGTTAATTCCAAATATATAGAATCTAATCGCGCACTCTTATATGCAATTTATGATTCAATGCAATTTGAAATGCTGTACTAATGTAATGAGGCCGGATATAACGAGTTCGCAAGGTCGCGCCAACTCTCGATTCTCGACGATTTATTTACTTGCCGTCAAAGTTTAATACGACTTTTAGCGACGATTCACGGAGTGTGTATCGATTCCGTTATCATAATCTCGTTGCATAATGCACGCGATATTTTACTGCTGCAGGAGATCGAGGAGGAGGAAGATAGCGGATGCGAAAGCGAAGGTCAGATCCTGACGCCGCCGTCGAGTCCTGGGTCGGGTCAAGGTCATTCCAACTCCAGTCACTCGTCGAGTGGGAGTTCGATGCCCGACGTGCACAACCTCAACCTTCATGGCACGGGTGGCAGGAGCGCTATCGTCAGGGTTACTGCCGGCAACGCGCAAGGTGTCGCAAGGTAGGTGTTATATATATTTCTTGAATCATATTTATGCCATGTTACGTGATCGACGAAAGAAGTATTCGGCTCGGTCGCTTTTCGCTTTGGCGTTTTTTCGTTACTGCTATTTTTGTCGAATAAAAATGTAATCTACTCTTGAATTGTGAAAGAAGCAACACGGTTAACGTGCAACTTGTCCTACGAAAGACGGATGTGCCGTAGTTACGTCTCGCTCGGAAATTATCTTGATTGACTGTAACCGGAGTTATCTGACACAAAGTGGCTATATACGCTTTCCGGGTCGGTTTATCCCATCTAATTCTCGTTTCCAGCAATTTTCTATGGAGGAATTCACAAATAAAAAAAAAATACGGATTTATTAAAAAAGTCGACATTGTATCGGGAAGTAATTTCCGAAAGTTCTTGCAAGTTCTTGTTGCGTCGATTAAGAAGCGTAAAACAATTCGCTGTCGCGGTCCGTCATTAGCCCGTTGCCGGAATTGCGCTCCTCGCGATTCGCTCGCGTTTCTTTCGAAACACGAGATGTACGCCGATTACATGTCATTCTACCGATCACGCTACTCCCTGGTTCGCGCGCGTTAAACCCGTCGAGGAAACGAACCGTGACACGCACAGGCCCGTTTCACGGTTGGAAACGGGACCCGGGTACGTCCGTCGTGTCTCGACAGCGCGCGCAACGGACTACTAATTATGACGAGGCCGATGTACAGCCAATGAGAGGAAACAAATCGCGTTTTTTGCAGACTGATCTCCGTCACGGCGAACGGCTTCCCCGCGGTCGCTGGCACGCAACACGCACACGCGGGTGCAACCGCGGCCACGACTACCGTGGCCAACAGGCACCACGCAAGGAGCAACGAGCACAGTCCGCCCGACACGAAGCGCAGGATACACAAATGCCAGTTCCCCGGATGCAAGAAAGTGTATACCAAGAGCTCGCATCTCAAGGCCCATCAAAGGACGCACACGGGTGAGTGAATTGCACTCTGCAACTGTATGTAGTAGTTGATTTGAAGCCGACGCGGACATATCGAGTCTGTCGATAAATTAGTCGGTCGTGATCGCTACCGGTGCGAAATAATCCGATAGTCCGTCGCGACATATCACGCGAACCGAGATAATAATCGTCGGAGTAGTCGAATTGAACTATTATTACGACGAGTTACACGCGTACGGTAATGAATAAGTGCACGAGAAGCGTTTACAAGCACGTCAGCGCGAGTTGTGACAAATTTTTCAAACCACTACCTGACACTTCCGCTACAGAAACAACGGGCGCATAATTAATTACGGGGCCCGAATTAGGGATGCTTCGTTATTCGCGTCGACGCGTCGAGCGAGACTATCTCGCTGATGAAACGAAGCAGACAAATGTAGCGCTCATACATTCGCACATTCATCCCTGATGGAATCAAAACATCCGCTCGACATCACGTGCCTCTCTAATTGGCCATTGTCGTATACGAGTATTTTTTTCTGCTCTATTGTATTGATAAATTCTTCCAACAACGAAATATGACATACTGTACGACGTGTACATTAGATTCATTTCGTTTATTTTAAATTTTTATCGATCTTTCTATTTCTATTTAGCGTTTTATGCAGTTTAATATTATTGAAAACTTTTGTAGTCTACCGTAATAGTTTTCCCGTTTATCACAATAAGAAATAATATATATATGAATTTGATAGATTTAACGTAACTTATTAAATACGCATTCAACTTCCAGAAAACCTACAGAAGTATAATTGTAAAATAATTGTAAAATGACTTTGTTGAAAAATTAGTTATGTGAATCTATATAACTAATATTACTCTAAATTATATATTTGCGCTTGTCATATTACTTATTGCCAGATACTCGATATCTTTACTAATTTGTGAAACGAAATAAATTTTTCGACAGTTCTTTTAATCCGATATAAAATAAGGTGAAGTTCTCCTCCATTATAAAAAGGTGTAATGTCTTTGCTACTCCCGTGATCCACCGTTGACGGTTCACTACCCGAATGCGATATTAGCATGGTTCTCGCCATCCTCCTTTCTCACTCGATCCTCTTCGCGGTCGCTTGCGGTGAGCGATGGCAGGCAGAGAGATTGTAATTAACGAACTCTCCTGTCTTCTCCGTCTCTTTCGTCTTCTCTCTTCTTTGCACGATCCATCCTCATTCTCCTCCTTTTCCTCTCTCTCTCTCTCTCTTCCCTCCGCTCTTTATCCACGGTTTTTGTCGCGTCATACTCAAGCTCTACGGTTTTGCCAGTCGTACGTACGGTATACTCTGCGGTGTACGTGTCCTCGCGCTTCTATGGGTTCCCTTAGCGCGTATAGCTTAGGATACAGTCTACATCGTTGCCGAGATGGCGAGGGTGAGAGTGAAACGGAGAGCGAGGGAGGTAATAAGGGATGGGTTGGCCGGGACGCCTTCATCCTGCAGCGTGGCAGGTACGTCGGGATTGCTTCTCGCGGATCGTTAAGCAGAACTGCTAACTACGGGATTATGCATACTGCGGGACCCGTCCCGCAATTATGACTTTGTTATGAATTCGTCCTGACACAAGGATCTCTCTGTCGGCGGAACGGCTGCGCCAGACGACGGATGGCGGCTCTCGCCGTAGGACGTTTATCTCGAGACATTTACGCGAAAAAGGTGTAAAAACGCCCTCGGATATCAGTTCGATCGCGTTTCCTCTTTGCTTTGCAGTTGAAATGTTCCTTTGCATCGTGCAACGGTTTTTGTGTTTTTTCTTTTGAGATTTGTGTATCTTTTTTTATCGTATATCTGCTCACTGTAGTCACAGAACGATCGAAATGCAGTCTTTATGAGAAACTGAATAAAACATGGCGATATATTTCCTTTCTTTTATACAGAAATAGTAAATTTTAGTAATTAAAACATTTTCTTTAATTTTTTAAACACATTTTTAAGCATATTTATATTTATTTTTCATATGTAATTATGTATAATTATGAATTTTTTTATGCAAAAGATATATCGAACTAAGGAAGAATAAAAAATTTAGAAATATGTTTGCGTCACACAACACAATGTCAGAGAAACAATTGCGCAACTATTTCTGTACTTATTGATTATATCCATTCGCCGCATGAGGAGATTTCCGCCGTGATTTTGACGTCGAAAAAGTTCGACGAAATCCCCTTTCTGAGTTCGCCGCCGGGAGAAAAACACGACCGCGCCGAGAAACTTCGGGAAGCGAGGCTTTTCGCGGGGATGGAAATGACGGTAGACTTTGATCTCACTCGATGGAATCTAATTACCCTGCGGACAGGAACTTGCAGTAGCGGGACACGAAACGAAGCGTGTCGTCGATCGCGAGTCTCGACGACGACGTGAAGGTTCGTTACGAAATCCATCGGCAAAGTTTCCCTTCGGAAGGACCCTCTCGATATGTACGTATCCCCCGCGCACACACAGAGACAACCGAAGGAGATCTCCCTATTTCTGCTTGATCTGATCTCTTACGTTTGACGGCAGACGCGACGACAGACCCGTCTGTATCTGCCGGATCACGTTATCCAAGACAATAGGCTTATCACCGATTCCGCGATCCGATTAGACGACTTAACAGTCAAGATCACTGTCTACGTTTGCTAATTCTCTCCTAACGAACTGATCAGACGTTATCATCAAACAGGGAGCTTGTTCACCTTGCGATCGATCTGTCGCGCGTTCGATTCATAAAGACCTGATTTTTCTCTCTTTGAAGCGCTTGAAGCTCGTTTGAAATAAACGACTTTAGTTTCGAAGCAAATCGTTGAAATATCTCTTGCATTCTGCTGATCTAGCATTTCGTAATAATTTTGCATTTTTGTGTAGGTTACGCATCATTGCGAAACGCATTTCTTCCCATTGTTTAAAACATATCATTCAAATCCGCGAGTTAATTAAAACGTTTAACGGATTTTGGTCTTGTGTAAAGAGGGTAATTTGAGCGAAGCGCGGGGGGGTCGCTTACGGAACGGCCGCGATTTTTCACCGTCATTCACAGCGCAGCCAGATTTACGTAGAATTTGTGTAATGCGCGATGAGAGCAGAGAGAGCTCCGTAATCACGTTAATTATAAATCATAAAAGGAAGTGGAAGAAGAGACAGAGAGAATCTGGTTATAGAAATAATACCGGAGGAAAAATCCGCGGATAAACTCTTTGTCGTGTCCCCGTGGTGTCTTTACGAGAACAAAAATAGACTAATTCTTCCTTTTCTTATCGTGCTTATCCTTCTCGCGTATTAGGTTCCGAGCGGGTTCCTTTCTAGCGCTGCGGGAATCTCGCAGGGCCCTCGTATCCGATTTTCCCACGGGGTGTCAAGGAATTATCGATCGCCGTCCCGCAGCCTCTCACATTGGCTGTGTATAACAGCAAGAGAAAAGAGGAATGGAAAGGTGGGAAGAGAGATTTCCAATTACAGGGACTTTCCGTTCTGGAATTCCATTCCGAACGTCATTGTTCTCGTGTCGCGCGCCGCGGACAGGATTTTGATCCTTCGACGATGCGAGAGTCCGATCGCTTTCACCGAGACACTTAACAGTCCTTCACTTCGTTTCGGAAAGTGGATCGTCACCATACACATATATGGGGAAACTTCACAAAGAGCGATTTTATTCTTCTCCGAGTTTAATCGACAATCGCGATTACGTGTGATTACAGGAAATTAAATATTAGCATTCTTCGATTTACAAAAGTGCGAAAACGTTTATTCTAAAAAGTCAAAATATCCAGTATTTAATTTTATAATTAATGAGAAAAATAATATCGCTTTTAATAGAAACTATTTCTAATATATATGTCATGGAGAAACCTGCATCTTTGGTTATCCCATTATTAAAATTATATATTCTCTCCTACGATATTCTCGATTGCAAAGAACGCGCGAAAATCAAAACGGGGATATAAATGATTCGAGCATGATGATGCACATCCTACGCATATATACGCATAATTTTACCCGATTGAAAAGTTTACGTACAGGGTATATGGGGGAGGCAGTTACGATCGAAGAAAGAGAGCCGGTCGAGATTACGTACGAGAGATCAAAGTAGGTCAGCCAAAGTATAATAATTTAGCATGAGAGCGCTTTAGAGAGAAACGTACAGCTTTCTGCGATCTTAAATCAAATGAAGAATGGAACGAGCGGCGGCTCGGCTCCGGGAGCTTATTTATCAACGTAGCTCGCGACGATGAATCCGCGCTGTCGAAAACAGTCTGCTTATATACATTGCTTCTGCATTTCCTTAGACACGTCGGTGTATCTGCGAACAATAGGATTCGGAAGTATCTCGCGCCGGGGGAGAGGGAGGAGAGGGTCGGTATAATCGAATTAACCATAAATCCAGCACATTTCCGCGCAAATGGATATTCGTGATTTATATTCGGTGAATGGTTCGTAGCGCGAAAGAAACGAGCGGCGCGATCGCCCGGTTAAAACATGACAATGAAATAAGAAATAAATTTGCAAAACAGAGAAACGATTTTCTTAAATCTCCAGCGTGTTTCCAACACGGAAAATATATTAATTTCTTCTGTAATCAATTGTGTCACTTGCTCTATCGCGTCCTATCTTGTCTTCTCCCTTTTTTATTTTACTAATATTTAAATTACGTAAAGTATATCTCTCTACAGGACACGCTTCTTAATCACAAATACGTTGCTTTATTTATAAAAGGAATGGAAAGAGCTTGATTGTTAAAATCTGAACCAACGCGAGGGGAGAGAATGCGGTGATAAAATTGATTTTATCAAATTTATTGTTTGTACAATCACTCTCGGAAAATAAAAATGATCCGCGATGTTGTCGAAAATAATAATGATACATTAATGTATATATTGATCTCATTTGACATATTTATATGGCGACATGTGCATCGGACGATCCCTCGGTGTACGATTTACGCGCGTCGGTAGTTTCTCGCTTATAAACGACTTTCTGTTATTTTTCGCCGTGGAAACATCG